TAGCCAACATGGTAAATTTACATTTGCTTTTTACCAGATGTGGAAATAAGATGCTATGTTTTCACTTCTGAAAATAACCAATATATTTTCTCATGGGAAGACACACTAACTTAGCTACATAAAAGAGAAACTTAAAATTTTAATTTGTTCTGTGTATTTCTTTAACTCTAAAGTGTTATTCTTACAGAAAACACGGGTAAGACTTCTACAGGCACCATTTACGTTGAAGTACCCAGTTATAATGAAAATTGTCCAACCATTGTCCTCGACAAGAAAGCAATTTGTACTTCATCACCTACAGCTGTTGTCTCAGCTAGCGTACTGGACAAGGATAAATATACTGGTCCCTACACATTTTCGCTGGAGGAGCAACCTTTAAAATTGCCAGCTGTGTGGAGAATCACAACACTAAATGGTGAGTAATAGTAAAGATGCTTTTATAAATGAAAGTTGCTGCTTCTTTATATTTCCCAAAGGATAAGACAGCTCATCTGGAAGCAGGTTCTTTCCAAACATAATTGGAAAAATTGTTTGCAATGAGCATGTGGTCCTCACCTTGTGAATTTCCTCTCAGTAAAGAAAAGGAATGACGGATGTTACCACCAAGTAAATTTTCTGTTTTTCATGTAAGATCCAATTTTTAAAATATTTTTATATCTTTAAGATGCTTATTTCTACCTACATAGCACGCCAAAATATAGACCAATCAGACATCTATTTTATTACAGAGCTGTTTAGATTTTGAAATACATAAACTTTTCTAAACTGTGCAGGCTGTGAGCAGACATGCTGCACCGGACATATTGGCCTGATAAAGGCACATAGGAAGTGGTACTTAGTCTTCCATCAGTCAAGAATCTTGAGAGCCTGGTGGACTCAAATTCATAAACCCATTTGTGAATGGGAAAGAGCTAATGCATCCTTCCTTTTGTTTCTTAATCTTTATTATTGCTAATTTTACATGCCCTATGTTTTCTAGGAATCTCACAGAAGCAAACATTAGACTTAATAAGAATGTTCTGGATTTTATAATAACCATCAGGCCATGTTTCCAAATTCTTTGTAAACTAACACATTTTTCTGTGGCTCTTTTCTGAATCAATCTTGCTTCCTCTCATGAAGATGCTCTATGCTGCCCTTCACTCATAGGTATCAGCTACTGCCAGAGTCACCAAAGGGATCTTGTTCCCCATGGCCTTCTTCCCTTGGGCCTTACAGATCTTGGTATAAGGATTCAGCTCCAAATTATGCATGTAGCATTTGGCTGCAACTGGGTTTACCAGATGCATGACCAGTGAAGAGGCAGGACCTGGCACTAGATATACCTATTTGGGTGAGGCAGGGCAAGGCAACATTGGTGGGACTGGGCAGGCAATGTACAATGTTAAAAGGGCATGGTGAGGTAAAAAAATGATTCAAGCAACACAGTACTAAGGCTTACAAGAGCTGCTGCTGGAATCCCACTTAGAAATGGCAACGTAGCAACGGAGAATAGAGAACTATTTTTTTTTTTATTGCTGTATTTAAATGAAATTTACATTTCAAGTTAGTTTCCCATACAAAAAAAATTTTTTTTACATACATTGTTATGAAACCCCAACCGCCCACCCCACTCTGCGACAGCACACTCCTCCCCTCCACCCCTGACTCCCCATGAACATTCAACCAGCTCCTAACTCTCTCTGCCTTCCCATCTCACCTCTGGACAGAAGCTGCCCCTTTGGTCTCTTGTATCTACTTGAC